CAAGTTATTTAAGTTGCTTTCATCGGCCTGCTTTAGGCCACGAACCCGCGACCCGACTTTGGTGTTTGTTAGCTTCGCTTTTCTCCGATCCAACACTACACCTAATCTAGCAGGGCCACTCGAAATCATAAATTAATGGTCGGTCCTCGTATCTATGGCGTTTATCCCGGCTGCTATTCGTAACACAAAGGTGTCGTCAAAAAATGCTCCCTTTATTGCACGTTCAGGTTACCAGATGAGTTCATAGCGTAATGAGTGCCCGAGTTCCTGTTACAAGCTAATATTGACAGATGTAAAATGCAATTACACAATTCGCGGAATTTCATGAGAATAATACAAGACGGATATGCTTTGCTACGACAATGTCTGAAAAACATTAGACTAATATTTCCATCCAGGAGCTACAAATATCCAGTTCTGCTACCAAAAATTGGTCATATGTTTATATACTACTTCAACCCGCAGGTTGCCATGACCAAACTAGCTTCTGCCAAAACCATATCAGGGTTTACCTGATACCAATTTCGCATTGTCGAAACATAGGTGTTTAGCCTTTCATAAATTTTGAGTGGAACACATCTTCATGAAACAATACACAACTCAGGTGAATTACGGCTTAACGTCCGTTCCTCTAATGTGCTTACTGTCTCAAGAAGGCTCGAACGGAATTTCATTTTTGCTATTCACTGGTTTGTTTTTCGAAAATGTTTTGCCCCTCTTTAGATTGCATTCGTATAGAAAATCGTAAGATTTCTCAAAGTACGAATGGCTGTTGGTGCGCAACATGGGTGCAGCAGCTCAACATTGCTCTCACGATTTTCAGCTCACTATTTGTTTTGCACGCGGCAGATTTCGTCCATCTCGAATCCTCCATTGCTTGATTGTAAATTTCAGATTTTGTTTCTCTACGGTTTTAAATTCAAACCCAATTCTTTTGTTGTAAAAGGTTATTTTTCGACGTTCTTTCCATTTCAGATTGATGGCATGAATAAACAAACAGAAGCAGACTTTGTCGAGACGCAACTACTTAGGCAACCCGGTGTACTGGAAGCCACTATTTTGTTTACGTCCAAAACCTCACACGTAACTTACGACTCTCTTGCTATCGGACCACGTGATATCATCAAACAGATTGAAGTAAGTTTCACCAGCTATTCAATCACTCGACGAAACATCATTTAATTTGTTATCTTTGCATGAATCCATCACTATATTTCCATTGAAATCAATCGCGTCCTCCAATCGATGCATCGGAATGCAAATTGACGACACCAGCTACCTTACCACAAGGTTACGTATCGCATACTGTTTGGTGCGTTTTCTTTGTGTTGGACACAATCTGTTGAAACACACAACGCCTAATCACCATGGTCGCTTGACTTGCCCCAGACTATGGCACTTATTTGCACATCTTGACTGTGACACATTCTCGCTTATGTCTGCATATGCTCTCGGACAAATACACAGCGTAGCGTGAATTCACTTGTATTGACTCGTAAAATATCCGTTGCTGCACCACTAGTCATCACGTGATGAGCAAATACTCAGAAAATGTTTGTCTTCTCTGTATATTTCAGAGTTTGGGTTACACGGTTCAACTCCAACATCCTGATCGAAAACCATTCGGTGAACATACTCCCTCGAACAGGTCTGTTGCACTCTTTCAATTGAAATGTGCCTCTCCGTGTCATTCCGTTGGGCGCGTAGTTCACATGAAACACTATACCACAACACTAAGTGTTCTGATGTATTTTTGATCAAAATCGCTCAGCTATTTAGTACTTAAAAATCGTTAGTTGACAGTTTACTATTTTGCGGAAAAATTGAGTATGGTCAGAAATAAAATCGTCCACAAACATTTTTCTTACGGTGCAATTTGGATAATCGGAATACTGGATATTTTGATCCGCACCAACAACTGTCAGCATTATTTGGGTTTCCATTAAGTGCATAACTCTTTCGTCCATTGTCTGCTGGTAAATAATTTCCGTCAGTAATTAGATCACATATTAGACTTCTAGTTTAAACTACACAGTTTTGGAATTACTGTCGTTCAGCACCGACTTCCCACTCGATGGAATAGCACTACCGTTCACAAGATTTTATTGCTAAATGTTTGATTTTTTTCTTTGACTGATAACTGATAACCATATAATTATATGCCTTGGCTTTGGTTTCTGTCATTCAGTGATTAAAATCAACTAATCGAAGAAAGGTTAGGAAGATATCTTTTATTGCTCACTATTGTACAATGAACAACGGAAGGGGTAAACTTCATTGTCCCTAGGACCTGTTCACTCATGGTAACCGGTAACGTGATGCTTTGGATGGCAAATCACGTCACTCCTCAGTGGGAAGGATGCAATTTTGAGCCGGACGAAAGCGAATTTACTTTTCACTAAATTTGGGTGCCAGTTGTGTGGTTCGCATATCAGATCGTGCAGTACTACATATCCGTAACACTACTTCAACTGCCCAGTATTACTCTACCATCAGAATCATTGTAGATCCTTCGCATGCTGATCTTTTTAGATATCTGTCTCAAATCAAGGCAGATAACCATTTGTGTACTGATCTCAGAGTATAAACTCAAGCTGTTCCCATACTCCCGGGCGACCATTTAATTTCGCTCTTCTTTATTTATACGATCAATGTGTTCGATGGAAACCATTTTGGATTGAAACACAGGCCTAAAAGCTTGCACAAACTATGAATACAAGCGCAAGGTGTANTGTATATATATATATATATATATATATATATATCACATTACCAATTCGTCGATGTTTGTGTTATTCAGCCTTTAGGTGATATGTACCCGATAGTGTGAAGCGTAAGTTGTACCATGCTTTAATGTTCATTGCTTCGCTTTAGTTATTCTTTGTGACTGCGGAGAACGGTTCAGCTCTTGCACACGACGGGTTTGAATCTACATCGTTGGTCTAAGAAATATTATCTATAGATTCATCATGGAATTTCAATGGGATTTCTTGGTCTTCAGCAGTTAAGTACACGCGTAATATCTTTATGGAAATTAAGCCTAGTGGATAGATTTGCGGATTCATGTCCCATCCAGTACCATATACCAGGCAGTCGCTTAATTGATGATTTCCAAAGTTTTACCGACGGTGATGCATGAGCTTTATTTTTAATCTTTCCCACCCTGTTATTCTAATTGAAAATGGATAAATGTAGACAACCTATCCGTAAGTGAATTGATTACTGCGCTGTTTTCGGACACGCCACGCACTCTTGTTGATTTTTATTTTGTATTTCTTACGCACAATAAGCAACGCGTGGGGCAATAATGCAGTTTAAGTAACACTTATCACATGATGAAAATGGTTTATAACAGAATACATCATAATAATGCCACATCAAACCCAGTGCACAAGAATAGAGACTGATCAGAAACACTCACAGTAATTCTGTTTCAATATTAGGAAGATGGCAAGATATAGGCATGTAGAGGTGGCTTTCCATAACTTGGAGGCAAATAAAAAAGCAATGGGTAGAACACTTTTTAGTAAAGATAGCTGATAGTCTAACTAGTGAACAGATAGATGGTTGAAACTACAAAGGTGAGTTCCTGCGAGCGGAAGTCTGGATAGGAGTGATAAAGCGAGAGAGTAGAACAACAGTTCGAAAGTCAGCTAATATTAATAACTACGTAGAGGAAATCTGCATTTGCTTCCACATTAAACGGATTGTCTTAGGTTGAGCAAGATCATGAGCATACAAGAAAGAGAGGTGAGCTGCACCTTCATACTACACAACTCAAGTGGGAAGCGTATTTTAATGGTACTTGGAATTCGTAGCTGGTGTTCCAAGACGCTGTTAGATCTGAATAAGGAGCCTTAACACCGTCACGGCGACAAAGAGCCGAAACTTTAAATTATTTTTCGTTCTTTCCCGTTGTGGCTAATCCAAATATTCCTACACAGACCTAGTGCTAGGAGCATGACGCAAAAAAGTTTTGAATGACATCCATCTCGAAGTTGGCTCCAATACTTTGAAGAAACTACTTACAAGTCCAGTTCAGATTTTACCACTGTTAACCATGCACTTTCGTACGTCGATTTGGGCTGCTGTCCCCTGATTGCCCATTTAGATGAAGAAGTGAAGGAAGATTAGAGTGTCAGAATCAGTTTCAAAGTGGAAATTAGGGGTTCATGAGGTTTGCAATTAAATTTAGAAGATTCTTTGTTTACACTCAGTCATGTCACTCGGTGTCTGTTACTATTGATTACAATGATCCCGGTGCTCCCATTCAGGAACCCTAACACAACCTACGTGAGCAAATCTCCTGATCGGGGTTTTCATACCCTTATGCTTAATCTTAGTTTGACCACCCCGACCTACGTAATCTATGGAGTCGACCACTTCGTCCAGTAGGTGACCGCTGTTCTCCAAGACTCAGCATTGCTTGTTCGTTTCCTCCACCTGATTCCCGCAATGTAACGGAGAGAGTAATATTTTGACACTGACATATGGCTACCTTTTGCAGATTTCAGGACAGAAAAAGAGTAAATAAGATCACGCTGTGATGTGAAACTGATGGAGAAACTTGTGTATCAACAGGGGCGTGTAAATCCCGTTGAAGCCATTTTTATTGGTATTCAAGGAAAATTAGACTAATGCTAGGCCTTCGTTCCCTCGAAATCGAAACCCATTGGTACGCCCGTATCGATCACGAAGACATCTGTTAGTGTGACACGATGGGTAATACAAAGAACACTGAACAATGACACCACCGGCCATGACCGTTTATAAACAATAGGGAAGAGGAGGAGGAGCAAAAAGCCTATGTAGCACCAACAGTCTCTGAACTTTTGTCAAAGACAATCAGATGAGAATAACGTAATGTCGTAGATTACCAGTGGAACTGTGATTGCCTCACCCGTACTATTGGTAGTTCATAGGCTGATGGCGTTCTTGGTGTGAAAGTGTTTGGTTTGAAATACTTGAGCTTGGGATAATTCTTGTTGTATGGAACCGAATCAGAACACTTGGGTATTGAGGAAACTTGCACGATGTTCTATAAAGTGACTGCTTACCATCAGATATTCAATAAAGATGCTTCAGTCGCGTTTGTTGCGGTTAGTAGCATCTAACCCACCTAAAAATCATCGAATCATAGTATTTATTCTTCAATTCACTGGTTTTGAAAGACCAGTCCGAACAAAGTTACCGGGTGTTGCAAATGAGGTTATTGTTTTATATTATATATTATATAGTAGCATATACTGAACATCGAATCATAGTAACTATTCATAGATGGATTGTTTCTAAAAGGCATACCCGGTGTTGCAAATGAGATACTACCCTTCCTGTGTACAAGTGTATGAGAGAACTAACTAAAGATTGCCGGTAGCGCATGCCTGACGAGCGGTGAGACCCGCGAAACTGATCGTGTGCTTCCGGGAAAATTTTGTGGAGTATTTCAGATAATACTTACTCTAGTATATATATATATATGTAATAAAAGTACAATGTAATGAACTCTTTGGTATCGTATGAAAGTTCTTGTCAAGCTTTAATTTTTATCTATTAGTTTGACCAATGTTGAAGTTTTATTACTAACGCTTTACGATACTTGTTTGTTTATCGATCAGAATGTATCACATGCAGACATTTGCTTTTGGCTTAGATAATCACCGCTATCGTTGGAATTAAAATGGCATTTGTTAGAATAAGTGCAAACAGGTTTCTTAACTCTCGGCAACTTTCTCGCCCCTCACTTTTCCACAGGTGGCGCAACTCTTTCCTCCTCAGTCTTTTCTTTGCTGTACCCACCATGCTCGTTATGATGATATTCATGGCATTGTGGCCTCATACAGCACCAGAGGGTTGCCCACCGCATTTTCGTGATTCTGACATAATCCGGTCTCAGTTTGGAAACAGCTCCTCGTCGAATGCGCATCATTATTCACTACGGAGCCTGCATTCTTTAAGTGAACAACCAATGGTGATGCCCGGTCTTTCATTGGAAAATCTGCTTCTTTTTCTACTTGCCACTCCCATTCAAGTAAGTCATGTACATTTTTACTTCATTCCCGCAATACAGATTGAGAAAAAAATGATACTTATTCAAAATTAGATTCTATTGATTAATCACTTGAAAAATTATTTCTCTGCATACTCACGTGGTTTCTCAGGATTCATATAGTACTACTGACTTAACTTGAACCAAACTTTTCTGTTACGCCATAGATAGCACGTGACTGCTGTTTACGATGTACTTGGCATTGCAATGGTTCAATTATAATCAAATGTGATTCTCTATATAGTCCTGCTGCTGTCAAACCTTACTCAGGAAGAATTGGTCATGATGATTAACCGACCGAAGAGTTCGTAGATATTATTAGAGCAAGATAGCGATCTATGTCTCATCACAATGTCCATCGTCTAAACGTTTGGTCTTGTGCGATTTTATACTTGATACCAGGGGCTTGGAATGTCCAAGCATTCTGAATATTTAGTACAGTTTCTCTTCGACTTCATCATCGAAGCCCTATTACTAGAGTAATATTTTGTCCTTGTTTTCTCATTCAATCCGCTTATCGCCTATCTCATCTCTTCTGATTCAATCCGTTGTGTTATCGAATGAAATCGTTTATTTACTGCTAAACAGCTCTTTTAACAGCATAGTTGTCGCCGGAGGAACCTCACAATCACACTGCATAATAATCAGGTCTCACTTTTCATATTGAAGTGACAGTAGCAAAAATATAAAATAAAGCTGCTTCTGGTTTTAGCTAATGCACAGTCTAACAGACAGGTCCTTAATCACTATATCCATGATTTCACTGTAGAATTGTTTGAGAAAACGCAACTGTTTTAAAAGGGCTATTAAGCGGCTATTTATGTTAGCATTTTCTTTGCTCTGAATTTTCGATGAATTAGGACTCTCTTTGCTGACACGGTAGCCAATCCATCTTGGCATCGGCCCTGGCTTGTTACCACTAGGTTGTTACAATTTCACGTGCACCAATCGTATCCCATCCATTGTTCCCATCTTGTCACCTGACCTGCTCCAAACAGACCATTGGCGGTAGGTACTTTTACGTACAAGCCTACAAATCTCTAACCCACGGCATGGCGAACATGGATGTTCTGATCGTGATGGCAACGTCAATCGCCTACGCGTACTCTGTCGTGGTGTTGCTTATTGCCATGATTGGTCGTTGGCCGACTAGTCCGCGTACTGTGTTCGAAACATCACCCATGTTGTTCGTGTTTGTCTCGCTAGGTCGATGGTTAGAACACGTGGCCAAGGTATGTGTATCATTCAATCTTTCTTCTACCTCTCACGACACTTGGATCCACCTCCGAAAATTTTATTTTTTCATTCTTGTTGGTGTGCTATAATTTTGTCTCTTTTTAAGCCCATGCTAAGGAAAAACCTCGAATGATCTTTGCTGCATGTCGTGAGATCACCACTGATTCTTATCGAGCACCGAGTACCGCTCTGTAAGCGCGCTGCTATAATCGGTTTACCCACCAAATATTTTCTCATCGTGTTGTTGCGTCCTCACTGTGCGAATCATTTTTACCCTAAGATCCAATCACACTATTCGTGATTCATTAAGGCTCGGTATTTCAACCAGGAATTTCTCAGAATTCCTCGTAGATTACACTATATTTTTGTTGCTAATTGATTCCTGTTGTCAAACGTTGATTTGCGAAATGAAGTTGGAAAATATTTTAGATACTTTCGTCACGGCCTATCAACGTGGCTCGACAACCGCGTATCCAAATACACCTAAAAACCCTAAACCCGAAAATATTTCCATGCCATACCACAACGATAACCGTCACTCTAGGTTATTTGTTAATGCTAATAAGTGCTGATTCAAATACTCGGGTCATTGATAAAGTGTCAATATGTCGCTTACAATAAGCTTAAAACCTGCATGGCTATAAAACCATTCAAACATGGCATGTGATTTACGCCATATAAATGCAAAGTGTTTGTTCCTGACTGCTAGGAGCCTGTGCCTAAACTCTCTCTTTGAGGTGATCACCTAGAAGTAGTCGAGAGTTTTAAGTATTCAGGGAGCTTGATCGCAGCTGGGGAAGATCAAATCACGAATAGTAAACGCTAGGGTAGCTCTTGCCAACCTGCGACACCTGAGGCACCGCCATGACATACGACTGTTCCTTTAGGGGATGTTTGTGCATCGCTGTGGTTTTGCTTTACAGTTGCGAAATTTCCCCCCTCCCTCCATCTGAGGATATATATATCATAATATGTAGTATGTGAATGATTAGACAAAATTTCCCTGGAAGCACACGACCGGTTTCACAGTTCTTGCCACGTCAGGCATGCGTATCCGGTAATCTTTTGTTCGTTCATTCATATACTTGTACCCATGAAATGTTCTTTCGTCACAATAGCCTTGTTTGCAACAACGGGTGACCATTGGATAGACAACTCTTTGCCAGCCAGTCCGTTGAAGATTTACTACTATAATTCCATGCCCTGAAGGTGGGTTAGATTCACTTTCAGTTTGAACAGCCATTAACCACGCATATTCGAGCGCCGATTTTCGTTGC